GCCTCTCAGATTATTTTATCAAATGTGTTTGTTTCGTCTCTTCATATTTTATTTTGATGAGGCTAAATCAGGAGAAAAAAATATGATTTTGAAAATTATATGTTGCAAAGTTATCAAATATTTTGTTGATTTTAATTTTGTGTGAAAGTTATCAAATATTTTATTAATTTTAATTTTGTGTGAAAATTATATGTTGCAGAGTTATCAAATATTTTATTGGATTTATTTTATGTCATACCTATATAAATATTGTCATCATCAAAAAGGGGGAGATTGTTAATCATATTGTTTAATTTTGATGATGTCTAAAATATTATTTTAAAAAATTAGATTTTTTAAAAATACAAAATCTATATTATTTGACACAAAATATTATCTGTTTACAATATATATTGTATGATATATTTATTATAAATATTATTTAAATGAAAATATTTTGAAAATATTACTATTCATGATTTTGAAAAGTTCGGCTGGTCACTATTTACTTTTTGACGAAATTAATATTGATTAATTGTAGTATTTTGACAAATGTGATATTAGTGAGTTGTCATCTTTTGACAAATTTAATATACTCACATGGAATGGCTGGTATATAGCAAAAATATTTAATTTATATTTTGCATGCAAAGTGAAACATACTCAAGTGATGTTTGAAAGCAAATCATACTTTTTTTTAAATATAAATATATATTTTATTGTAAAAAGAAAAAGATGAGCTTGACGGTGGGTTTTGCATCCTTGACATATATATATATATATATATATACATATTACTATAATTAATAGAAAAAGTTAGCACAAAAGTTTGACAAAAATATTTGTATATATGTATGATATTATATTCAAAAGTGTGAATTGAACATCTTGGTGACTTACCTGCAAAAGTTTGTCAAAGAAATGATGAACAAAGAAAAAATATGTAAAGATTGACAAAAAAAAAGGTGACACATGGTATATTCATTGAAAACCAAAATAGATATCTTTTGTCTATCAAAGAGCGTGCCCATGTAATCCATAACGTCAGCAAGGAGCGTCTTACCTCCAACAGGTATATTTTTGGGTATAAGTAGAAGTGTTGTGTGTGGAGACAAATCAAAAATTTGAAGAGAAAAAATTGGTGTGCTCTAAAATTTTGAGTATATTGTATTCTACTCTTTCACTTTCAGATCTAAGTGTAGTCTTTGTTCTTATACTTCTATATCTACTCTTTGTGAGCAAAGTATTGTAAAAAAGGGTTAAAGTACCTCTTATTTTAGTCATTATTTTGTGAGAGATTTTTGTAAGAGTAAGACATTTATTGTTGAGTGAGGCTCAATAGATAAAATTAAGACTTGTGAAAAATCCACAAGCTTGGTGAAGCCTTAGTAGTGTACTGATTCATTATGATAGTAAAGAAATTCTAAAAAATGTTCCTTGGAGAGTAGATGTAGGTCCGGCGTACCGAACCACTATAAATCTCAGTGTTTGATTTTCTCTCCCTATCTTTCTTACTATTATATTGATAATTATTGTTCTATTTTTATTTGTTAAAATTCTGAATATTGTGTTTTTAATATTGTAAAATTTTTAATAACCCAATTCACTCCCCCTCTTGGGTTGCATATCTGGGATAACAGTCCATTCTCGTCTCATGATCAAACATCGACCTTCTACGCCCGTCAAGCCCATTATAGGTGAGAGCCGATTGTCGGCAAGACAAATCAATAGAGAGATAGTAGAGAGAGAAAGAGAAAACTCTGGTTCATGGATGAACACGATAAGCTCCAAGTCGTTGAGCTCAAAGAAGAGGTTCATTGATACGATCTTTCAAACAAGAGGTTCGTCGAAGGTGGTAACGGAGAGGTGGCAATGGCGAAAGAAGCAGCGAGCGAGCGAGAGAAAGAGAGAGAATGGGAATGGGAATAAGAATAAGTGAGACATATAGGAAAGGTGAGGGACCTTAGCTGTCACAAAATAATATTATGAATTTCTCTAATTACTAAAAATGGGAGAGAGACTTTGAACTAATTTTTTCTTAATTTTATTTATTTTAATATTTTCTTACTATTTACATTAATTTGAGTCGATTTAGTTTTAACAAAAAGAAGGTTTGCTCTTTTTTTACTGATTTTTTTGAGTTGTTGTGTGAGACTCTGATTTTTTACTTACTGTGTGTGCACAGTACACAACACATGCACACGAGAGAGTTCAGAGGTTTTTTTGGTTTTTTTTTGGGATTATACAGAGTTCAGTGGTTGTATGTCTCCATCATCCATCAAGGTAGATTATTTAGGATGATCTTAATAAATGTATATTTTAATTTTTTATATAAAAAAAAAGTAATGTGATTTAAAAGAGATAAAAAGATTAAAAAAATATATACTTATATTATGTACCCCAAAATAATGCCTTGGATTGGCGTAGAGAAAAAAAAAATAATAGTAAAATAAAGGAAAAATAATAATAAATTAGTTACTTAATTTTTTTTTAAAAAAAAATACAAGTAGTAATATATTTTAAAAACAAGTATATTGATCTCTTTTAAAATTTTAATTAACATAATAATTAAATTTTTTTATTAATAATTCATTGATTGTATGAATAAAAAAAATGATATTATCATTTCTTATCTACTAAAATATATAGTTAATTTTAGGAGATTTTTTTTAGGGTCTCTGGTATTATGATTTTATAGTATAAACGACATCCAATATTTTTATAATATCTAAGGTCTCTCAACATTGATAGAAAGAAAATTCGATTGAGAGAATTTCTCTAGCCTTCTTTCTGGGAATTTCTCTGGACTTTCTAGATAACTTTTTCCTATAAGAATGCTAGAGAATTTTTCTGATTTTCGCAAGAATTTCTTTACGTTCAAACCAGAAAATTTCTCTGCCTTCCCAGTCATGATGTGCAATGCACAAAATTGATCACCTAAAGAAATAACAACAACCAATACACACACACACACACATATATATATATATATATAGAGAGAGAGAGAGAGATTGACTGAAAGGAGAATTTCTTTGGGTTCAAACCAGAGAAATCCAAAGAAAATTGAAATTTCTCTAGGTTTTCAAATTTTTTCTGTGTTTTGACCAAATTTTATGAGTTTATAAAATTTCTCTGCAAATATGGCCAGAAAATTTTTACTAACTACTTCTCACAAGCATAACAACAAACACCTTCAGTGCATAATCAAACAGACTAGGAATATATAAATTTCATTGTCAATTTGTTTGACAAGTTGAAATATACAAATCTGAAATACAACAAAGTTGATATATATATATATATACGAACATAAGCAACAACAAATGAATCCCCAATTAGAAGAAACCCCAATTAGAAGAAACCACAACACTGTTTGATTGATGGAAAATGGAGTACATAGACAACCTACTTCCTATGGATCTGATGCGAATGGACAACTTCTTTTTCCTTCATACGTTGTGCTTCATCCATTCATACGTTGTGTTTCGTCCATTCTCGCCTCATGATCAAACATCGACCTTCTACACCCGTCAAGCCCATCGCAGGTGAGAGCTAATTGTCGGCAAGACAAATCGATAGAGAGAGAGAGTAGAGAGAGAAAGAGAAAACTCAGGTTCATAGACAAACACTATAAGCTCCAAGTCGCTGAGCTCAAACAAGAGGTTCATCAATACAATCTTTCATACAAGAGGTTTGTCAGAGGTGACAGCGGAGATGTGGCGATGGTGAAAGAAGCAGCGAGCGAGAGAGAGAGAGAGAGAGAAAAAGAGAGAGAATGAGAATATGTGAGACATATGGGATGGGTGAAGGACCTTAGCCATCACCAAAATAATATTTTTCTTACTATTTACATTAGTTTGAGTCGATTTAGTTTTAATAAAAAGAAGGTCAATGCAATTATGTAAAAAATATGAGACTAATTATATATTTTTCTTTTAAATCTCAAAGAAGGTTAGTATAATTTATCTCAAAAAAATGTAGCGAAATATATGAAGATCGTTTAAAAATAGGCAAAATATAAATCACTTAGAAAACATGTAGAAATAATTTTAAGATTGAGGGAATTGCTCATTAATGAGTATATGAAGGATTATTTGCAACTTTAATTGGATGACAGTCCCAAATTGAAAAGATTCAAAACAAATTGTTATAATATGAGAAGTACAAAAACAATTGTAAGGGAATGAAAACTATACATCTTTATCTTTTTCCTATATCTTTCTCCTCTTCTCTCTTCTTTGTTTTATTTCTCTGGAGAACACCAGACCATCGGCCTTCCCTTTCCCTCAAAAAAAGGAATGGGCAATAAGTGAGGGTTCCGATGGCGATGGAGGGTGCTGGTGGTTTGGGAGAGTGGGGAGGGGTTTATTATTTGAGGGTTGACGACAAAAATAGTGGCGACAGTGGGAATGGCATGGGAAGGTAGCCATGGCAAAATTGGGTGGGTACTGCGCGGCCATGGCGACACCCATTTAAAATAAAAATGAAAATTATATGTATAGATTTTATCAAAGAAAATATTATTAGTTATCATATTGTTGAGATCTATCATTTTGATAGTTTATGTCTATCTAATATAAACTTGTAGAAAAAAATGTTTATAACAATTTCAAAATTAAAATTAAGAAAATTTTATCTAAAACCAACTACGTCATAAGAAAGATTAAGTGAATGGGCAAGGGAGTCAGGTTGAGTTTGTGATAAATCGGAAGCATATAACTTGCTATGTCATTCTTGAAATTAAATTGTAGATCTCAATCTTTTTCTTAAGAAAAGAATAAAGTTAACAAAAATTGAATATAAGATTCAATTATTAGTTATTTTGCATCTCAAAAAGGAGAAAAATAAATTTTAAATAAAAAATATAACAATTTTGAATAATTAAAAAAAAAAATCATTTAAATTTGTGATTCAAGTCCAATGTTATCTTGAGCTAGCTTTTCTTGGTGAAATATCTTTATCCTAATCTGACCCCTCAAGACAAACTTCAGCAGACACTAAGATCAGCAAAGAAGACCAACTTCCAAAATTGAGCAAAGCTTTCAAAATTGAACTCCGTAATTTTTTCAACAGACACACTATACATCAAAACTCAATTACTACCCATCTGAGGGAACATTAACATTGTCCAATGGCATTATATTTCATACATTGAAAGAATCAAACTTCAACTACTCAAGATTTTGAAGAAAAACTTGTCGTGAGCATTTCATGAGTCGTCACCACTAAGATCTCCCCATCGCACATTGTGCCTTGCAGCAAGATAATGTGCTCCAACTGGTCCTCTGCTACCATAAGGATAGAGCTCCGGTGCAATCTTCTTCTCTTCTAATTCTTTCAACAGCGGTGTGAATAGAGACCAAGCAGCATCAAGCTCATCACTTCTTATGAACAATCTTCGCTCTCCTTCTATTGCATCTAAGAGCAGCCTCTCATATGCATCTGGTATTTCTCTCGGATACCTTCATATCCAAACCAAAGTCTCAGATCAAAATCTTAGCAAAGATAGTAAAAACTTAGCCTAGAATATGTATGTGACTCTATATAAGGATCAACCATAGTTTCTTACCTTGCGCTGTAAAGCAAATTGAGGTCACTACGGTCAAGTCTCATTCCAAGACCAGGGACCTTGTTGTTGATCTTCAGATATATGGATTCATCTGGTTGTACGCGAAGCACTAGCTCGTTTGTAGCCTTATCCAAATCTGTTCCAAAGTTTCGCTTGTACAAATTGCCTGGGACATGTCTGAACTGAACTCTGATCTCTGCTCTGGATTTTGCATTGCAACAAGAATTTTAAGCCTTTTCATTATTACATAAGAGTATACAAGGTCATAAGATGGTTAAGATCTACCAACCGCTTAGTGTGGAGAGCTTTGCCTGCTTTCATCAGGAAAGGAACCCCATCCCATCGGGCATTATTGATAAAGAGTGCTGCTGCTGCAAATGTTGGAGTGAGACTGTCCTTCGACACTGTTGGATCATCCGTATATGCTGGATAGGTGTTATTGCCCTTGCTGTGGCCCTTATATTGGCCTACTATCACGTCTTCAAGTTGCAATGGTCTCATTGACCTCAAAACCTTGACCTGAATCAAATTCATGCTCATTATAATAAATTAATTTATAGGGTTTTGATAAAACTAGTTATCTTTATAGGACTCTTTTATTTCTCCCAAAGCACTTGTGTCCGCCAGATATGATAAGGGCATGTATCCGACACTTGTAACCAATTTAGACACTTGGATCCTCCAAGATTTTACGATGTTTGAAGAAGAAAAAACTCACAATTGTTAGAAAAGAAACGTTTCTAGCCTTTCATATGAATGAGAGCTGAAATTTCATATTTTCTATATATCTTGTTCAATTTCAAGTATATTTCTACATAATTTTGCAACAAATTGTCTAAATGTATTATACAATATGCAAGATATTTGTTCATGATGCGCCACCATATCCATATCCATATCCAACTTTTGGACACATATCCCAAGATCATAAGGTTTAAATTTATGAAGATCTAACACTTGGACATGCAGATCTGACCTAATACTTGTATCCAAGTGCATCTAAGATAGGGGTTGGGGAGGCATGGGTGGAGAAATTGATTTGTCATTATTTACCATATTTTCAGATGAGTTTTTGGACAACTATAAAAAGCAATTGAAACCTGCCATAACTGGGAAAAAAAATAATAATAACCAACACACAGATTGCAATCTCATATATGTATATAGAGAATGTCTACCTTTTCATTCCTAATGTCCTCTGCATCCAAGCTGACAGGTGTCTCCATTGCAAAAAGTGCTAGTATTTGCAGGAGATGATTTTGCATTATATCTCGAATGATTCCATAGTTGTCAAAGTAGCTTTCGACAAGAAAAAAAAGTAAGGTAATTTTTATTTTTATTTTTATTTTTTTCTAAGAGGAATTGTAAGTTTGGAAATTTGAATATCAGCAAGTTTATAGAAACTCACCCCCCTCGTCCTTCTGTACCAAAATCTTCAGAAAATATCAGCTGCACGTTACGGATGTAATTCCTTGACCACAGCGGCTCAAAAACAAGATTTGAGAAACGAAGAACTGATAGGTTCTCGACAAGCTCTTTGCCCAAGTAGTGGTCAATCCTGGGTAAAATTAACAAAATCAAGTTTTCTCATATAGCTCTATAACTTTGTCTCATAAAACAGCAACACGGAAAAATTTTACCTGAATATTTGATCCTCTGTTAGATACTGCTTTAGAGACCTGGTGAGCTCTCCAGATGACTCTGAGTCACGACCAAATGGCTTTTCAACAATGACCCTTGTCCACCCATTCTTCGAAGAAGCTCTACAGCTAGCACATCTCACCACATCCACAAATATGTTTGGAGGTATTGACAAGTAAAACAACCTATTTGAAAGTCTGCCTTCCTGGAAAGAGTAGTACATAGGCACCACGGGAATTTAAACTTTGATGGATTGCAAATTTCATGACCATATCAGGACATAAATGGTTTAAGATGCTTATAGTTCACAACAGAATATATTATCTATTGCTTCAAATTCAAGTAACAAACATCAATTCTTTATGCGCACAAGTAAAGCATGGATGTTACCTCTTTAAGTTTTAGTTTGCAGTCCAATTCTGAGAAATGCTCCTCGGAGTTATATTGACCATAATGGTAAAAGCATCTTTTTAGAAACTGATCCATTTTGTCGCCACAATTTTCTCTGTAAGTCCCCATCCATATTAGTGAATGTGTGTAAAACACAATTTGAGTCAAATATTGCACAAGAGGAATGATTCAGCATTATTGCGTACCTCTTATCAATTCTGCAAGTTAAGGTTTGGCTAATCATGTTCCTCAGCTCCTCATCAGTCATTTTAGTTCGAGCATAGCCGAAAACTGAGAAACTCTGCATATATATGTACATATATTAAAAGAAACAAAAGAAAAAAAATTGATCAATGGTGACTAAGCCATAATGATAGTAAATAAATTTTACTAATGTGATGTATCATCAATTCATGCAATTATAAAGTGAAAATATACCCCCCCCACAAAAAAATTTTTTTTTTTGAAGAGTACAACCTCAGGTAAGCAATTTTCGTAAAAAAGAGCAAAAAGTGCAGGGAAAATCTTCTTCCTGGCAAGGTCCCCTGAAGCTCCAACAACAGTTATGCTGAGAGTCGATTCTGTTTTTCCTGATTCTGAGAAGCGACTAGATCTCTCCATCACTAACGGCTCACTATTTTCTTTAGACACAGAATTTTCAGCTAAACCTAGTCCAAAATCCCATCAGAAACAACAATAAGAAATTAAGAGAAAGAAAGGAAACATCACAAAAACAATACGTAACAGATCATGGATTACATGCGAGGATGCAAATCAAGAGAAAGTGATCGTAACACTAGACAAGCACCATAAGTACCATATAAAGTAAATTTGAAAACTCTCTAATCAGTATTGGTACTATTACACACAGGAGGGGAACCAAATGCTTTCATGGGATCATTCCTGACTCCAAAAAAATAGAAATTTTAAAGCCATTTGTGTTATGTTTGGTTTATTGGAATGAAAGTGAAATGAAACGGAATGCTCATTCATTAGTCTCCCTATGATCATTCACTGATAGTGGCGTGCATTGATGATTCTATTTGTAATGCATTTTTCATCTTTTTTTATAGCAAACCAAATGTAAGAGTGGACATTGAAATGGAATAATGATCATTCTATTCCACCTTCATTCCAATGAACCAAACACTACCTTAAGGTATTTTGGAGAATTGTAATGTCTGCTAATTGTTCCAGGAGGCTTCATATTTGTAATCCAGTAAATAGGGTACTGTACTTCTGAATTAGTTAGCACTGAATAGCACTACTAGTTTATATTTTGTTTTTGTTTATTTCAATCTTCCCATCACGGGGGTCAAGAAAGAAGCCCTTCCTCTTCTTTAGTCTTCAGAATATCCACCTATCCAAACAAGAATTCTCACTGGGGACAGAGCATAAACACCTAACAGACAATTTAAAATTTGTGCAAGAACAAATATGAATACAATTAAGCAAACATACAAACAAATCAGAGTAACTGAGAACCAAAAACCAGAAAATGAACTCTTTTGAAAAAGATTGAACAACTGTTAATCAAGAATACGTATATAGACATATGCAGTTAACAAGAACACAAAATGGGAGGATTGAGGAATTGAAAACTAACCGTCATGCAAAGAAACAGCATTTAGAGGATACCCATTTGAGGAATTGAACTCAAAATGCTTTCTTGAGTGGATTCTTGAGCGAATCTGGGACACCCATTTAGAGGAATAGATTCTTGCCGGGACAATGATGAATTTTGTGCAGAGATGTGTCTTGTGCTTGAATGAAGAGGTTGAGAAAGTTGATGAAGAGGAAGAACATGGGCTGAATTGTGTAGCCATGAAATTGAGTGATGATCACAGAGAGAGAGAGAAATGGATCAGAAATTAAGAGAGAGAAAGAGAAAGATCAAGAAGAAGTTTGAGAGGTTAGGTCGGTAGAGAGAGATTTATAAAGATTGTAGTTAAATTCCAATAATAGTTATCTGTATGTTAAGAGTGGAAACTACTCTTCAAATGCCCATGAAAGCTAATCTTCTACGTGAGGTCCAGGTTTGTTTTTCGTTTTTTCTATTTCTATATTTTAATTTCTCTGAATTTATTAATATTTTTTATTTTTTATTTTGCGTGTGTTCATAGGCTGCATATTTGGGCTTCCAGCTCTTAAAAAGGAGACAGAAGCCCAAACTACCCAGCGGATGGAATTGGGCTTGGGTTTCCAGCTTCATTTGGAGCTCTTTTAGCTACATCTTAAATTGAAGGAAAATTAAAAAAATAAAATAAATTCTCAACACGTTTGAACTTTGTAATAGAATAAATCTTAAATTTTAATTTTAATTTTAACAATTTAAATCTTACTATTTTGATTTTTTTAATTTAAGTCAACTGTTTATTTTAGTAAAATAAAATTGTTGAAAAAAAAATATATTTTAGTTATTAAACTTAATAGTTAAAATACACTTTTTTGTAGGGTTGAGTAAGAAATCCGTATAATCCGTAATCCGATCCGGTTCAGTCCAATCCGTTAGGTTTGGATTGGTTTTTTTAATCCGTAGTTCGGTTTCAGATTGAAAATTTAAAAATTCGTAGGCCACAGATCAGTTCCAGATTGGAACCGATTCGAGCCGTATATAAATAGTCTATATTTATACTATTGACCCTCCCACATAATATCATTTTTTATTGCTTTTATTTGATATTATGCTTAGTTTTAATACAGAAGAGAACTCTGCTTTGTGTAATGTGTATCCAGTTTTAGTACTTTTGTTTGTTGCTTTTGTTTATTGCTTTTGTTTGATACTATGTTTATGTTTTTTTGAAATTAAAATGTTCCATATTTTTTTTGTTATTTAATTATATGAATCTGTGGTCTTAAACCGATCCAATTTGTGTTTAAACGGATTGGTTTGGATTGGTTCCACGATTTAAACAGATTGGATTGGTTCTAATTTTTCAAAAACCGTAAATAATGGATTGGTCCTGGCTTTACACCAGTCCGGGCCAATTCGGACCGTGCTCATCCCTATTTTTTTGATAGTTTTACTTAACGAAAATAGATTAATGATTTAAATTGAAAACAAATTAAAATATTAGGGTTTAAATTAACAAAATTAAAAAATCAAGATTTATTTTTGTTATTAAGCTCAAACTTGGGACATTTTTCTTAAAATTAATATATGTATATTGAAAAAATTCCACTAAAAAAGAAAATAAGCTATAAAAATAAAAAATAAATAAAAAAAGGCAACTTTGACCCAGTAACCAAAAAATAATTTTTTTTTAAATTAAAAAAACAAAAAATGTGAATTATAGAATTTGTTTTGGGCCTTATTAAATCAATTATGAACTCAGAGAAACAATGATGTAGAAATAGAAACCACCCTTATGCAGAAGAGAGGCTTTCATGAGTTGGACAATAGAACCGGGCTTTTAGTTGGGCTTTGTATTTTTAAAGATTTCACGAGTTGGACTTTTGGTTGATTTCCTGAAAAACCTCACAGCCGTGACCCAATATATATTTTTTACGACAACAATGATTTAGACCACTAAAAAAATATCATTAATAGCACTAATACATTGGGAATGATAAAAAAAAAAGAAAAAAAAAAGAAACAAGGCATAGAAAGTGGACGGGGCCCACTGCCACATCATTAGTTCTCCTTCTAGTGTTCCATTTCTAGTGCTCTCAAGCATTTTTCTTTTTTACGATCTTTTGAGCTACGAAAGTGAGTTGGGATTGGCTTTCATCAGTTAATTTTTTTTCCCTCTTTTTTGATTGGGTTATGGAAATAAGAAAAAAATATAATATATAATTGTCAAAAAAAATCATTTAGCTTAGATTGATGAGTAAAGGGTGTTTAGGAATTGATTTTTTTTAAAATTTTTTTGGACTTTTTATAAATATATAAGAGTAAAAAAATAATAATTTGACGATTTATAATAATTTTTTTGAGTAAAACTTAAAATTGCCAAAACAGGCCTAAATTTTAGTTGTAGTGTCTAACAACTCAAAATTTAATTATCATGTCTTTTAACTTTCAACAATTTAAATGGACAGCGGTTAGTGATAGTCATATGAAGAAACATTTTAATTTACTGTGTCACTTTATCTTTTTGTACAATTAATTTAAACAATTATCTCTTAAACTATTGGCATTAATCCACTTTACCCAATCACGTACACCTACTGGCACACAAAAATATTTGTGCATATAATTTGCTTAGTTTGATAGTATTAGCTATGATTGGTTATTTTTTGTGTTTTACTGAATATTTTAAAAATAATTGGTTATGCTTTGTTGTATAGTATTTAAATATTTGTCTTCTTAAGTCTTTTTACTATGAGGAAGTAAATCAATATTCTTAATTAATCACACATGGTATAACAAGTGTGATAATCTGTTAAAAATATTAACTTCTTTAACGTTTTGAGATAAAGTGAATTAATATTTATAGTTTAAAGGTAATTCTTAAGATAAATTATATATATTTAATTTCATGGATAATGTGATATTAATTTCTTAGATAACGTGATATCACTTGGATCCAACCACATGACGCAAATCAATTTATTTATGCATTTGTCAAAAACATACAATTTTGATGTAAGACACCTAAGTGAATCTATAACACAGAATCTCTACCATATTTGAGTTTGTCTCATTTAACATTGATTGACTATTTAACTTGTGGAGTGTGAACATTTGGGATTTCGTTCAACAACCTTTCACTCGTACACATTTCATTTGTGGTTCAAAATTGTTGAATGTGATCAAATTAGGGTGATCCGTCATATTCTTTAATTCCATTAAAGTCCATTGGATTAATTACAAAAAAAAAAATTCAGAATTTTGTGTGTTTTTCAATTTAAATCTCAGAATTTTAATTTCAACAAATTAAACTTTGAATTTCATCTGTGTTTCAATATGAACTCTCCGTCCATCTTTGTCTATCTCCGTCTTACTTAATCTTCTTTCTTTTTTTCAAATTTAAACTCATATATTCTAACCCTGGTATGTCTCTCATTGTAACTCCGTTTTGCTTCACTTTAGTGTCGTTGGATTCATCTCATAACTTAGTTTTTATTCCACCCCTTATACGTCTTATTTCACCTCTTTTTACGTGCCTTTGGAGCTCCAGAAGTTGGCCAAATTTGTTTCTCTTTGGGCAAATTTTTCAGATTTAAACCCACATGTTCAAGCCCTTATATCTCCATCGTCGTAATTCTGTTTTACCTCATTTTCACGTCGTTGGATTCACCTCATGGCCTAGTTTTTTATCCACCCCTCATATGCCTTGTTTCAAATTTTTTTGTGTGTCTTCTGAGCTCCGAAATTTGGCCAACTGTTTTTTTTTTCCTCTCTTTGGACAATTTTCAGATTCAGACCCACATATTCTAACTCTTGTATCTCCCTCGTCGTAATTCTATTTCACCTCATTTTTACGTCGTTGGATTCACCCAATGACTTAGTTTTTATTCCATTCCCCATACACCATATTCCACCTCGTTTTACATGCCGTTTGATCTCTAAAAATTTGCCAAAAAAAGATTTTCTCTCTCTCTTCTTCCTTTTTTTTTTTTTTTTTTTTGCATGTTTTGCTTTTGTCACAACAATATTCTTAGCAGCGAAGATGCAATAGATGATGCTTGATTAGAAACCAAGGTGCCTTGACATGCTCACTGACCCATTATTTTTTATTTTTTATTTTTGTGGGTAATTGTGTACTTATCACCACTCGACGGCACTGCTACCATTACCACCACCACCACCTCATCTTGCAAATAACGATGATCAAGCAACAGTAGCAAGTTAAAAGGAGGAGTCGTGAGGAGGAGGAATGAGGGAAAAAAAAGAGAAAAAAAGAAAAATCTTATTTTTGCCAACTTTAGGAATTCCAACGGCATGCAAAATGGGGGTTAGGTTAAAATAATTCACTAAAAAATAAAATAGGTTAAAATAGTTAATAAGGTAAAATGTCATATCTAATCTATAATTATTTTATTTTTTCTGTCATAATCATTAAATCAATTTAAAAAAAAAAAACTAGTTAAACACAATTATTTTAGCCAGGTTCAAACAGTCAAAAAGTCAATTAAAATAGCCCACTAAAAAATAAAATAGGCTAAAATAGCTAATAAAACAAGTATCACATTTAATCCATAATCATTTTACTTTTTTCTCTCACAACTATAAAAAAAAAGACAACTAACTTCCTAAATACAATTATTTTAGCTAGGCTAAAATAGTTAAAAAAAACTAAATAACCAACTAAATAGTAAACTTCCCAAACAAGACCTTCGTCAAAAACGTACAATTTTGATGCAAGACACCTAAGTGAATCTAGAACACAGAATCTCTACCATATTTGAGTTTGTCTCATTTAACATTAATTGACTATTCTACATGTGGAGTGTGAACATTTGGGATTTGGTTCAGCAACCCTCACTCGTACACATTTCATACGTGGTTCAAAATTGTTGAATGTGAACAAATTAGGGTGATCCGTCATATTCTTTAATTGCATTAAAGTTCATTGGATTAATTACAAAAAAAAAAAAAATCAGAATTTCATGTGTTTTTTAATTCAAACCTCAAAATTTTAATTTCAACAAATTAAACTTTGAAATTTCATCTGTGTTTTAATGTGAACTCTCCGTCTATCTTTGTCTATCTCCGTCTTATCTTCTTTCTTTTTTTAGATTTAAACTCATATATTCTAATCCTGGTATGTCTCTCGTCGTAACTCTGTTTCGCCTCACTTTAGCATCGTTGGATTCATCTCATAACTTAGTTTTCATTTCACCCCTCACACCTCTTATTTCACCTCTTTTTAAGTGTCTTTGGAGTTCCAAAAGTTGGCCAAATTTGTTTTTCTCTTTGCGCAAAGTTTTCAGATTTAAACCTACATGTTCAAACCCTTATATCTCCATCGTCATAATTCTGTTTTACCTCATTTTCATGTTGTTGGATTCACCTCATGACCTAATTTTTGATCCACCCCTCATATGCCTTGTTTCAACTCTTTTTGTGTGTCTTTTGAGCTGCGAAATTTGGCCAAATGTTTTTTTTTTTTCTCTTTGGACAAAATTTTCAGATTCAGACTCACATATTCAAATTCTTGTATCTCCCTCGTCGTAATTCTATTTCACCACATTTTTACGTCGTTGGATTCACCCAATGACTGAGTTTTCATTCCATTCCCCATACACCATATTCCACCTCTTTTTACATGCCGTCGGATCTCTAAAAATTTGCCAAAAAAAGATTTTTTTTCTCTCTCTCTCTCTCTCTCTCTCTCTCTTTTTCTTCTTCTTCTTCTTTTTTTTTTTTTTCCTTTCTTGCTGTTGTCACAACAATATTCTTAGTAGCGAAGATGCAATGGATGATGCTTGATTAGAAACCAATGTGCCTTGACATGCTCACTGACCCATTATTTTTTATTTTTGTGGATAGTTGTATACTTATCACCACTCGACAACACTGCTACCATTACCACCACCACTACCTCATCTTGCAAATAATGATGATGAAGCAACAGTAGCAAGCTAAAAGGAGGAGCCGTGAAGAGGAGGAAGGAGGAGAAAAAGAAAAGAAAAGAAAAATCTTATTTTTGCCAACTTTAGGAATTCCAACGGCATGCAAAAAAAGGTGAAATAAGGCGTATGAGGGATATAATGAAAAATAAGTCATGAGATGAATCTAATGACGTGAAAATGAGGTGAAACAGAGTTATAACGAGAGAGATATAAGGCCTTGAATGCGGGTAAGGATTTGAAAATTTTACCCAAAAAGAGAGAAAAAAATTTTGGCCAACTTTCAGAGAGGTGGAATAAAGCGCATAATGAACGGAATGAAAATTAGGTCATAAAGTGAATCCAACGACACTAAAATGAAACGAAACGAAGTTACGATGAGCGAGATATAAGGGTTTGAACATGTGGGTTTGAATCTGAAAGAATGAACAAAATGAAGTGAGACAGAGATAGACGGAGAGTTTATATTGAAATATGAATGAAACTTCACAATTTAATTTATCAAAATTGAAACTCTAGGGTTTAAATTAAAAAAATGCGAAACCTTGGGTTTTTTCTGTAATTAACCCAAGTCTATTTTTACATGAAATTATGTATAGAAATGAATTTGAGATAGGGTTTACTCACGTGAAGGTTAGGCAACATCATGATCTTTTTTACATTGATCACCATGCTAACTAAATTATAAATAAATTACACTAATCTCTCGAAGTAATGAAGAAAATAAAATCAACTCATAGTTTTGATAAAATCAAATTCTCTTCTGATTTCATAATTTTAGATTTTTTTATGGTCAGCTCTTAGATAATTGTTCTAACTTTTTTTTTTTAATCGAGGGAAATAGAAAAATAAGAAATTATAAATCATATCAATAAACTCAAATTTAAGAAAAATTATTTCATGCTTATAAGATATGGTCAAGTGATATTCCAAAGATATTGTGGCAAGGGAAGATGACAGGCTATGTAATTTTGCAAATTTAAACGTATGACTTATAAGAAAGAGTCTTGTCCTCATCTTAAAAAATAAAGTAAAGCCTCACCGATTTGACTTCTTTTGCCTGATGAGTAAATTTGCCGTGTCTAATAATCCAAAATTTTAATTACAGCTGCCTTCAACTTCCAACAACTTGGCCAAATAATGGATGAGTGATGCTATTATTTAAATTTCTTTTAATTTCTTAGATAATATTTATTTGATGTAATTTTTTTGTAGCTATTTATAATTTTTTTTTCTCTTGATTATTTGTATCAAAATATTTAGTGCAATTTTTATTTATAGTTTATAAAATAAAAATAACTTAAATATGTTTAAAAAATTATTTAAAAGATTTTTTTTAATTATTAACTTTTAACTTAAATTTTTTTTTTTTAAATATCATGATGTCATTTGGATCCAACTAGGTGACAAAAATCAATTAATCTCTGTTTTGTCATATATATAGTGGACTACACTTTTGATTAGAGACAGTTGAGCGGATATACCTCAGAGAGCCTCTACCATATCAAAGTGGTAATTGTCTGATTTAACATGTCTATCATCCTACATGTGGCGTATGTGAACAAGTTAGAGTGACCCATCAGTCTTAAATTCATGCAATGCAAGCCAATTCTTATTTACATAAAACGAATTTAGAATAATTTTGTGTGATAATTTTTTAGGCCTTTCAAATTCAATTACATCAAATTTTATACAATTGTTTAATTTGTGTAACAATATTGTTCTTAAATTCAGCCGCATTAGGTGATTGATCAAATTGGTTAAGTATATTTTTTTTTTCATCTTTGAGAATTTAAAATAATATCAGTCTCATTAGAATATCCAAACTATAATAATATAATTATGACAACTCAAATAATAGTCTCATCGATGCTGCTCTTACTTGATTAGAAATACAAAAATCAGCCAAATGAAACTTGCTTTTGTAGTTTTAATGGGTAGAGATGGCTGCAAAGGTTGGGTTTGTCCCCAAAACCACCCACAACTCTGAACACTCTATGAATTTAATTAATTTTTTTTTTTGTTTTTGTTTTGGGGGGTTCCCTTGTTCATGAGAGGTTATTTTTGTAAAATCAATCCACACTCCCTTCCCAGCCCAAGGGATAAGTAACCCCCCAAGTCCCATGCCAAACAGCAAAATCAAATTCAGTAGTCTCTCCATTTCACTACCAAACACTCTCTCCCCATTTACTTTCCCTCCCAGTAGAGCTTTTCCCCTTTCTTTCCTTATGGAATACATGAATCAAATCAAGCAACATAACATCCAAACACTAGATCAACTCACCCAATTCCACTTCTCAAAAAAACTCATCCAAATCCTACTCTCCATCTCTGCATTTTCCATCCTCTTTTCTTGTTCCCCATTGTTTCCTCTCTTCACCAATCATATCACTTCTTTTTCCATGCAAATCCTCAGCTACACCACTCAGAAAAACTTCATTTTCCTCTTTTGCAATGGAATTCTGGTTTTCCTGATCCGAAACTCGGGTCTGCCCCACACTTCACAAACCAACCATAATGTACCTGAATTGGGTGAGAAGATAGCATTGGCTAGAGAAGAAGTTGTGGAAATTAAAGATGAAAAAATTGAGAATTCGGTTACAGGAGGAGGAGGTAATGAAAATGAAGTTTTGAATGATGAAGACGATAAATTTGTAGTTGTCGAAGAAGAGGAAGGAGAGGGAGTGGATGAAAGTGAAGACGACGATGAATTTGTTGTAATTGGAGAAGAGGAGGGAGGAGAGGGAATGGGATTGTTGAGTGCAGAGGAACTGAACAAGAAATGTGATGAATTTATAAGGAAGATGAGGGAAGAAATCAAAATTGAAGCACAAAGATTGATCATGGTTTAGTATATTATACCAAAAAAGGGCTTACATTCTAGTCATTTGTCTGTGACTATTTGTACTTTACTTTTGTCCCTTTTTTTTTTTGTACCATTTGTGATCTTTGTGTAGAAACTTTCTCCCAGCTATTGTAGTATTATCAGTTCAGTTTTAATGTAGCTGAAATGTGAAACTTATGTAGTTTTAACATCATGTTTGTAAGAGATAAGAATGTTTTACTTTTACCATGTAATTTTATCCTCATAACTAAAGAATGAAGAATTTAATTTTGTGCAAACACAACCAATTTTAGCCATTTAATTTTTGAAGCACAAATTTTATCCGTAGGCTCTGTTTGTTTCGACGTAAAATATTTTACACAAAAAAAAATATTTTTATTTTTATTTTTCGGTATTTGGTTAACACTTAAAACAAAAAAAAATTTCGGCCGTGTTACGTAGCCCGAATAGACAGAGGCTCGACTACCTCAAAAATTCAAACGACGTCGTTTGATTTTTTTTTTTTTTTCCTTTTCTTCTTCCTTCAGTCTCTTCTTCCTTCCCTCTCTTCTTCCTTCCCCTCTCTGTTGTGCTGCTCTGGTGCTCACTCAAAACTCAACAAACACCAAAAAAAAAAAAAAAAAAAAAAAATCAAAAATCAAACCCACACAGCAACAGCAACAGACAGACCCAAATCAAAAATCAAAACTCAAAAATTTTCACAAATCACCAAATCTACACAAATCAAAAAAATCAAAATCAAAATCAAAATAAAAAAAAAAAATGAGAGGAAGAGAGAAGAACAGAGAAAGAAGAAGAGGAGGAAGAAGGAGGAGCTCTCCGTCGATCTGTATATACACACACACAGATCTCTCTCACCATCACGCCATCACGCCGTTGCCGCCGTTGCTCTCCGTCGCCCATCGCCATTCACAGATCTCTTGTCGCCATCATCATTACGCCGTTGCTCTTCTCTCTTCCTCTTCTCTCCTCTCTCTCTCTCGCCTCTCGCCTCTGTTTCTCTCTCTCGCCTCTGTGTTCAAAAGGAAGAAGAAGAAAAAAAAGGAAGAAAAAGAAAAAAAAAGAAAAAAAAAATGAAACCCAAAACGACGTTTAATGTTTTCATTCCGTCTAAATAGTTACAATGACAGGGGAGGTTAGTGTAATTTTCCAAACGTCGGGGGATGATATGTATTAAATCTAAATCTTAGGAGTTGTAAGTGTAATTTATCCATTTATTAATTAGTATATCAAAACTAACTGAGTAATATTAGGGATACCAAATAAATGATCAAATGTCTTATGAAAAATGTTTGGTGGCTCGAATTTTTGTGACTTGAATGGCCCGAATATGTTAAAACGACGTCGTTTTACATCCAAAACGACGTTATTTTGGGTGTTTCGAGTCATTCAAGCCATGATTTTTCGAGTCACTTAACATTGTTGATATCTTATATGGGTATGGGGTTCGCAATGTGAGATATTTGGTCATTTATTTGATAAAAAATTTAGAGTGTATAGCATTTTCCAAACTAATTAGTACAGCATCATTATTTTAATTATGATGAGAGATGTGGAAAATGTCATAACACTTTTAAAATAAAAATATAATAAAATAAAATATTCTTTTCATTTTAAAATATTAATTTATTATTTTATTTTTTATTATTTCAAAATACTCATTCTTGTTTAAAAATTAATAACTAAAATAATATAATTTTTTTATTTTTTCTCTTCTTCTAAGTTAATTACAAAATGTAATAATTTTACTATCAAATGGTAGTTTAAAAAAGTTAATATTTTTGAAATATAATAATTGTACTATAAAAAATTATTAATGTTAATTAATTTAGAAGAAGAGTTAATATTTTGAAAAGTTAATATTTTTTTAGGTGTAATAATTGTACTACCAAAAAATATAAATTCCCCAAAAATAATTAATATTTTGAAACGGATGGAGTAAACAGTAAAGTTGACAAGTCTAAGGGGAGACTAGTGTAATTTTAAAAATTATAGTTAAATCAAGGAGAATTTTTTTTAAGGTCCCCTGATGATATTAAGATTTTATAAGATAAGAGATATGCAATATTTTCATAATAGTTAGGGTCACTCAACATTTTGCTAAAGAAATTTTGATCCAAAAAAATTTCAAAGCACAAAGAAATTTCAAACAAATTTCTGTGTATTTTGAAATTTCTCTACTCCATTTCTTCGATTTTCTATGTGTTTTAAAATTTTCTGAGTTGGAATTTCTTTGTATTTTGATTAATTTTCTTTAATTTGATCACAATTTTCTATATATTTAACAAAATCAGAGAAATTTAAAGACTATGCATACAAGCAATCATTGTCTTGTTGACATCGCATCTATTAACTAAACCCTCACTAGTCCTATTACTACCAGATTGTAAGTTGGTTTTCCAATCAACTATAACTGTCCCTTCATGATTCTTATCATCATCTATCGTGTCACAACCCAAACCCGTCCCTATAGGTTTAGTGACGTAACTGGCCAGTAATTATTGGTTAATAGTTTCTTCTTACAATTTACGTCATAAAAATATTTTAAATAAACTAAAAAAAACTAACTATTTTAAAGTTAAAAAAAGTGCTTTTAAATTTCAGACTCCAATTATAAATTATTAACTTCCAATTTAGAATAATCTCTCTCCCACTATACACATGGGCATTCTCTTTCTCATCTATAGCTTAATGGGGATTCAAAAATGTATTTTTCAGCTTAATTTGAACTTTTTCAACTGAAAAATAAATTGAAACAACAGAAAAAATTTGTCAAACACCTTAACTTTTCAAAGTACAATTGTTTAAGTATGAAATTCCAAATTTTAAGCTAACAAAATAACAAGTTTTGCCAAACAGACTCATAACATCCTACTCTTTTTTAGGTTTATGACAATAAGTGGCCCCCTTACATATGCAAAATAGCATGCCTGCATCTCTGCTCTTCCACTGTACTCACCTTCTCCTAGACAATGAAGAACATAGACAGGAAATTCTGATGAACTGAGAATTACCTTCCACTTGGTAATGTTTCCTATCACCCAAACACTCCCAAATAGATCTGGTAGACAGATGGCCCTAGTGGGAGGCAAGAGCAAAACAATATTTGACCTGTTTCCCATAGGTAATTAGCACAAATAGATTTGGACCCCACTAGTTTGACAATATACCAGCAGAGATGATTTAAAACTCCATAGCTTGTCCTTTGGAGATTCTAATTTATGCAAAGAATGTCTTTTGATTTGTTAGAGGCTTGACAATTGTTGTAATGACATAAAGCTTCTCTGCCTCAATACGACAAGCCTTTGTCGGTAAATCCATTGAACAGTATCCTTCGATGGCACACCACTCACCACTGTACAAGAGTAGTTCAAATTGGACATTGTTATGTTCATTGAATTGCAGCATCTGAACATCAGTACGTGGGTGAGTTCAAGGACATCTAGATCGGAGGAACCTAATGAAGCAAGACAACATCATAAATATGATTTTATTTCGTCTAGAATTGGAGAAAAGAAGGGGCATGAGATACTGCATCCCAAAAATATATGTCCCCCTGTTCCGATACACTCCTCTCAGTCACACGATAGTGTCCCAAGATTCCCACCATATTTTGCTGTTGTGAGTACATTTGGGGGCAGGAAGACATGAATTTTGAGACACAAAATCGATGACCAAAACAAAGTAACCAAAAAGGTCCACGTTCTAGCAGAGAATAGTTACACCTCTCAGCTTTTAGGTGAAGATCAACTATAGTATAATAAAGTAATTTTACAACTTTTGTAAGCTTTTGTAAGCAATAATGAAAATTTTACAAGTCTGCAAAAGCTCAACCTATGGCGATATTGCAGCCAAGGGCGCAAAGAGGATCTCTAATAGCCATCAAGCACTTAACAAGTAAAAATTATTTGATTAAAATCATCTAATATAGTTTTTCACAATTTTACTTGCAAAACATAAGTTATGGAGGTACAATAGATGCCTACTCAAATGCATATAGCACTCCATGCAGCTTATCTCTGATCCATACATCATTTCTAGTAGTATGAATGTTAAAAATTTGAATATCAACAAAATTCGATAGCCGGTTCATGAATGTGTATTTGATCTCCAAAATTTTCCCCTTGTCTTTAACAATAATAAGTATAGCAAGTAATTTACTTATGTTAGCTGTAATGTAAATTCATAAATTTCTAATAGAAAAAGAATAATAAACGGTATTTGCTTGACATATTTCTGAAACCCATATTTCTGAAACCCATGTACAGCCCATAGTCACACATACACCATAATCCAGTTATCTGCTAGTAATGTATATAGTCCTGTTCTAAAGTTTTTTAATGCGACAGAAAAATTAAAGCATAAATAGTCTACTTCAAAAAAAAGAAACCCATTTTAACAGAAGTTCTATAATTTTAGGAAGTTTTAACTTCAACACTGTCTATCTCATTCTATCTATTGTTTCCATAATCTTTGTTGGCTTAATTCCTTTTTCAAAACAAGCTGGCCTTTTTGACTATTTGAGGTAGAAAAAGTTCTCAGCCAGCAAAATATGACATATGGATCAATGACTAAATATCAACATAGAAAATAACAACTGTTTAATACAAGAAAATTTAAGCATTTAGGCATGTATGTAGAATAGTTTAAATAACATTTTTATATAAAGACAAAATTAGAAGCTATGATATGCTGATTAGCGTGCTCCCACCTGAGAAAAGGAAAAAAAAAAGATAAGGAATTAGTTTCTTAACAAGTACAATCATATTGCAAGAGAGAATGGGGGTGGTAGAACCAATCAGCTGAAAGGAGCTAAATAATAATCAAGCACTTTCCGGATTGTCAAAGTGAATCCATAATTAAACCACACAAATAAGGCTTGCCTCTACAGATTCACACATTAAATCAATTGGTAAAATGCACTGAAAATGCAGTTTTCATTAAAATTTTCCCCAACTCATTCGTTGTTCACTAAAAAATTGGTTAGAATGATAATACTACCCTAAAAAGATTTTTTTTTTATGGGCGATTGAGTTAAGAAAAAGAGAAGAAAATCATACTATTGTTTAGTTATACAAAAAATGAATATGTACAATAAGTAAATGGTTCTACACGAACACAGTATCTTCACAACTTCTGTGTATGCTCTAAAAATCAAGAGAGCCTTACGCGAACCACAAGAGGATTTATTTTTGCAATTCAGCTATATAGGCCACTTCTTTCTCAGACCTATCTGGCTTTTCTTGCAGTCTCCCCCAACTTTCCTTTGGCTTTCTCTTGTCCTTGGAAGCACTGTCAAGACAATTCAAATCACTTTTCTGTGTTGCAGAAGCCATATTATCTTTGATAAATTTCTCTGATCCTGTAATCATTCTTTGACAATTTTCTCTAACAGTGCATACGGCTACCTATACTAGAATCCCAGTAATGCAACTTTTGTGTTCAACCTCATTATCTTAAACTTTCATGTGGGAGACTGTCTATAAGTTAGCCCAAGGGATAATCAATAGAAATGTGTTTCATGTTAAAAAATACTGCATATCAGTTACACTTGCCTCAACCCACATGATGCCGAATTAGGGGAAGAATATGCACCAACTCCAAGTTCCTGAACCATTGTCCAATTCATACAATGTCCATCAGGAAAATATGTTCTTGAACTCTTCCATGTATGTTGTCATGTCTTCCAAATGACATATTCCATATGTAGTATCTTGATATTGCTAACACCTCCAAACAATAGAACCTGTTAATCACCAGTAATCCCCACACGAACACTTACCATCAATAAAATGATGAAATCTGTTTGAATCTCGTAATACTATTTGCCGACCAACAATTTTTGAGATATACTTAAAGGCAGAGTGACAGTCGCCACAAACTCGGAGATTTTTCATTATCCTTATTGGCAATTCTGATTTGCGAGTAAGAACAAAAGCAACTGCAAGTTTCTCACTATGATAACTAAGGAGTTCTTCCTTGCTTTCCAGTTCAAGATCATACAAAGCGAAATTTGTCTGAGGCACATAACCTGCATCCCTCATTTTCCTGTGCAGTTCCCTGAGTTTTTCATAGATAGCATCTTTGTCTCGGTGTGATTTGTCACTGGCTACAAAAACATGAACACCGTCTTTCATGGTGACCCAACTACACCCAGCCTCCTTCCTCGCTTCTGCTTCCCTCATTGCAGCCCGAGCATTTGCAACATCATGCCACTTCCCTCCAGAGGCATACATATTAGAGAGAAGCACGTAATTGACCGCATTTTGAGGTTCCAATTGCAAAAGCATTGCAGCAGCCCTCTTACCCAAATCTGTTTTGCGACCATTTGCTCGACAGCAAGCCCCTAGAACTGTCCTCCAAATAAGAACATTAGGATTTATAGGCATTCTATTAATGAAATCCTCTATCTTATCAAGTTCACCTGCTCGCCCAAGAAGGTCTACCATACATGAGAAGTGCTCTATCCGAGGAGTCAGACTATATTCATTGCTCATAGATTCAAAATGCTTAAAACCTTGCTCAAGAAACCCCACATGGCTACAAGCTGACAAGACCCCAACAAAGGTGACATGATCTGGTGGTTGACATTCTAGCTTCATTTTTGTGAAAATCTCTAGAGCTTTGTGTCCTTGTCCATGCCTTGCATAGCCAGAGATCATGGAATTCCAAGAATACACATTCCGCACGGGCATCAATTCAAAAAACCTTGAAGCGTAATCTATCCTTCCACATTTGGAATACATGTCAACAAGTGCACTCCCAATTACAACATCGGACTCCAAACGAGCTCTTATTGCACAAGCATGAACTTCCATGCCACGCTCCAATGTTGCAACAGAGGCACATGCACTAAGAACAGTGGCAAAGGTGAAGCAGTCTAATCTCTGACCCGTCTGTAGCATAAACCAGACCAAATCCACAGCCTTGGTTAAAAACTCATTATGGATGTACCCAGAAATCATGGAATTCCAACTTACATCATCCCTCCTCTCATACATCCTAGCAAAAATTTTCTCACAATCATCCATGTCCCCGCACTTCCCATAGCAAGAGAGAAGAGCATTCTCAATAGCACAGTCATTCAGAAAATCATACTTTAGCAATAGAGCATGAATCTGAGGGCCCAGTTCATGATGTGAAATACATGAAACTGCAGAAAGAATGTTGATAAAGGTTACTCTATTAAGAATCCATCCATCTCGCATCATGTCAAAGAAATATTTTACAGCTTCAGAAACATATTCCTCTGAATCAGAAAATGCCCCAATAACAGAATTCCAAGAAACTTGATCATAATCTGTCATTAGAGAAAACACTTTCTGGGATTCAATGATCCGACCAGTCTCTGCATATAAAGCAAGAAGAGCATTCGAAACTGAAACATCTAAATCAAGTCCCAGTTTAAGCCCTTCACAATGTATTTGTTCTCCCAGTTTGATCCAAACTAAGCTCCCGCATGAATTCAAAGCACTAATCAATGTAAAATTTGAAGGAATCAACCCGGTTCTTCTCATTCTACAGAAGCACATGACTGCATTTTCAAAACACTCATTCTGGTCAAGACCAGAGATCATGGAGTTCCATGAGACTGCATCTTTATTCACCATGAGTCTGAAAATAGAGCACGCATCATTAATTGAACCACATTTAGCATACATATTAACTAGTCCATTTCCAATTGCAACCTTGGAATCAATTAAGCCAGTTCGGACGACATGTGCATGAACCTCTCTACCTCTTCTTTTCCCTTCTTCTAACACAGAGAACTCAGGAAAAGCACTCAAAAGGACTACATAAGAGTCAGAATTTATTTTAACCTGGTCTTTCATCTCTGAAAAAGTTTCAGCTGATTCCTCACCTCGTTTTTGCCTCACCAATCCAACCATTAAGCCATTCATGGACACTGCATTCCTCTCGCTCATTTGCTCAAAAATCTCCTTAGCAGTGTCTAGCAACCCAAATCTTGCAAACCCACTTACCAGAGCACTACCCACATACAGATCTTGTATGAATCCATACTTTCCAATTTTGGCGAGCATCTGCTTAAGCAAGGACAAACCGTAGTCCATAGAAGAACAAGCAGCAGTTATTAAGCTCCCAAAAGTATACTCACTAGGTTTGAAACTAAATCCCAAGCCCTCCTGTTGCATGCTGGAGAAGAGTTCAAAAGCAGAAATCGTATCACCTCTTTGCGAACAAACTGAAATAATAGAATTCCACGACACTGAATTCTTCATCTGTATTCCATCGAAAGCGTGAAAAGCATAATCAGCAGAATCCATACTATTCCCATACATCGAAATCAATACATTACAGACCACAGCATCAAATGCATATGGGGTTTTTGATATTAAACCATGAATTTGCAGCCCAAGTCTAAACCCACCAGGTCCTGAAACTTGGCAAGCTCGAAGAGCACTACCAATAGCGTAGATATTCAAAGAAAACCCCGCACATACCATTTCACGGAAAACAGCACACGCCTCATTGGGCATATCATTTTGGGTATACCCAGAAATCAAACAAGCCCAAGTTACAGAATTTCTAGTCGGCATTTCGTCGAACAGGACATGTGCAGAAACCAAATCACCAATTCTGACATATATATTAATAAGGGTATTCGACAAAAACAAATCACTGGAAAACCCGTTTTTAACAATGTGTAAATGGAGCTTTTTGGCATCCCCATGGAAGCAAGAAAATTGATACCGCTGGACTAGAAATTCATAACTTCCGGAACTTGAGGGCGAAAAATTAGTGGGGCTTTGAGGTATAGTTTTGAGTTGAGACTGAGATGTTTTCGTGTGATTAACTGGGTTTTGGAACTGGGTCAAATAAGGAGGCAATGGTTTGATAGACTGGTTTGGTGTTTGTGGGCTGAAGAGAAGAGGGTCTTGTGAGGGGACAAGAAGTGAGGAAGACAATGTACTAAGAGCAGGAGGCCGTGAATTGCAGAGGATTCGCCTGCATGTAGATATTAGGTTGTTTCCATTGAACATTGTTTGGTCCAAAAAGAGAAGAGGTTTGTTTCATGTTTTCGCGCCTTTCAGCTTTCAACATCAGGTGTTCATTGAGAAAGTCTACCTGTTCTGGGTGTATTTTTAAATTTTTCTTAAAAAATTACTATATATATTATCAGTTGAAAAATGCTTTGGAGTGAGCTGTAAGACCAGTTCTAATGAGCTGTGGAGTGCACTTCACTTATTGTGATGTGATAGTTTAATCTTAATTTGTTTTAATTTTTTCTTTATTATGTTATTAGTGTTTTATTAAATTATTTTCAACGCTTCATCAAATTTGACATCAAATTTAAATTTTGGTGAAAAAGTTATTATTTGGTGCTCCAACGGTTGCACCAAATTGATATCAAATTGAGAATTTACCAAACAATTCATCAAAGTGAGGACAGAATACTGATTTCAGCAAATCACTGTTTGTTACCATTTGGGGGAGACTAGCCAGTCAACGAGCCAGTTGACCAACCGGTCGACCACTAAAAGATTCAAACAGTTCAAAATTTATAGGTTCAAACAGTTAAAAAAAAAAAAATTTGTCTTACGACCGACCAACCGGTCGACCACTAAAAGGTTCAAACAGTTCAAAAAAAAGTTCAAACAATTCAAAAAAAAAAATTTTGCCCTTACCGGTCGACCAACCGGTTGTCCCGGCGCAGATTTGATGAAAATTCACCGTTGGAGCAGCGATATCAAATTGGGAAAATGAGCCATTTTTTACTCAAATTTAATGAAAAATTTGAGTAATTGTTGGAGATGCTCTTAGAGTATCAAAATTGGTGCTGTAAATCATTACTATGTCATTAGTGTTTCTCTGGACAGAATTTTTTTAATTTGACTTTTTGACTATTTTAACATGATAGAAAAAAAAATTTTGGGATACATTTTTAGTTTTTTTATAATTTTATGAGAAAAAAAATAAAGTAATTATGATTTAGATGTAATATTTTGTTTTATTTATTTTTTAGTTTATTCATCGTTTAATAAACTAAGCCTCCGTTTGGGAAGTAGGTTGGCTTTTTGGCTATTTGAGCCTGAGCTCAAAAGCTTGGTTTGGGAAGGGCTTTTTGACTTTTTGACTTTTTTGACTTTTTTTGTGAGAGAAAAGTATAATGATTGTAGGTTGAATATGATATTTTGTCTGTTATTACTCAAATAACCTATTCTATTTTTTGTGACTCAAAGCGCTAAAAGAGCCCAAATGGACTCTTCCCAAATGAGCTCTAAAGTCACAATCATCTTGCCAAATGAGACAATCAGCTCTCCTAATTGTGAGCAGTCTCATTGATATTTGTATTAGAGCATCAGCAAAGATTTTGTTATTTTGACAACGCCAAAATTTCAAATTTGTTTTCAGTATGTAATCAACATATTATATTTGATTTGTTGATATTAAAAAAAAAAAAAAAAAAATCAAAACCAAAAAAAAAAAAAAAATATGACATCTTGATAATACTATTTTAATGGTGCATATATTAAATTTTTTTTTAAATATCAGATAAAGTATTATTTGTGGATAGCATAGAGCAACTCCAATAATCATTGTTAAGTGATCATCTCAAAGATTAATGTTTAAGACCTTCAAAATAAGTGACCCCTACTCCCAATTGATGTGGACAAGACATGTATGTATGTATGTATTTTTTTTTTTCCCTCTCTCACAGGTGTGTTGGGATTGTGAAGGTTGGATTTTGTGGGCGTCTACATCACAGTTGTATTGAGTAAATGATTGTGCCCTTCAATAAGTAAATATATGTGATAATTGCAAGCAATTTACAAATTTAATAACAAAAAAAAAAATTGTATGGATCTTTGGTTGAGGGATTTAAAAAGAGATTTGGAAAGGAAAAGGGAAAGGAAAAAAGTGTGTGAAATTAAATGAAATATAAATATATTTTATTCATATTTCACATTCTTTTTTTATTTTCCTTTCCGAATTCCTCCTCAAATCCTGCAGCCAAACACAGTATTAAGGTTGCGTTTAAATCTTAGATTTCTGGAGTAAAAGAAAAAGATAGAAACAAGATTTATTTTTTATTTTTTATTTTTTTAATTTTTTAAGGTTGCGTTAGGAAAATGGGCAAGAAATGAATAATTATTTTGTTTGGTGACCCACAAAAAATAAATAGGCGTTCTGTTTGGGTGAACGAAATCAAACTCAGGGAAACACACACAGGGTAGAACCAAATGATGGAATCAACCCAACCAAAAACAGATCAATCTTCAAGCTAGCTGCAATCACAAAAGCCAACAAAAGTTTCAAAGCTTTGTCAAAAGTTCCATGGAATTGTATTCAAGCTAGTTCCCAAAATATCTCAAAATAAACTCTTTACTTACTAAGAAAAATGAGAGTTATCAACAAAGTAACTAATGTGAAATGGAATTATGAATAAAGCTCCACAAATTAAGTCATTCACAATCTAATAATTTGACATAAATTAATCCAAGCAAACTCAGATAAGCAAAATTGAGAGAGAGAGAGAGAGAGAGAGAGAGAGATGAAGGATGTTGCCACGATGCCATCCTCGCATCACAAAGAACAGAATTGCGGGATTGGCATTCTCTTAGAAGCAAGATTTATACACTAAATTTGACTCTTTTAAGTTCATGGTTGCATTTCAAACTGGGAGGTTGTAATGACGACTATGAAGAAAAGATAACAAGATTCCGAGTCATTTCAAGCAAAAATAAATCAAGTATCCTCACCACCTAGAAATCCAAAGCCAACAAATGAGTTCACATGGAAAGATACTAATAGTTCAACGCTATATTTCAAATTGCTTAAACAGATACATGCATACTTTTGTGTTGTCAAATAGTTTCAAATCAAAGAGTGAATTTCTCATGCTTAGAATCATGAACAAGAGGAGTAGGAGACATTAGATCAGCAACGTTTAAAAAAACAAAAAAAGTATAATTGAGAGCACATTCTACTATCCTAGGTAATAGATCAATTCCCTTTCCTTTTCAACAGCATCTGAAAACAAGAATCAATTACCTAGGGTTAATCCTTACACAAAAGAAGTCACAATCACAATAGTAATGAAAACAAAATAAATGTTGTTTTATAGAATCTTAAAGGTGATGACCCATATGCACCGGGTTAGGTTCATTCCACCATAACTCTTCTTTTCTCTTTTCGAAAAATTATTTTCAAGGCTATGTATGATACAATCATTGTATTTTTAAATTACAATCACATAACACAACTCGATTAAACCAACTGCACCTCATCTCATCCATCAAGATCAAAACCCATTTCAGTTAATTCTGAATGAAGCATTGAATCTCATTTATTTACTTCAATCAAGAGACATAACTTGAACAACCTTCAATGAGGAATACTGATATTTTATGTTATATTATAAGCTCAGGAAGTAAGAATAATGGATCATGACAAGAAAAGGCAATATATTTTAATTTCCACAAGTTTTGTCAAAACCAAACAGAATTGTTGAATGTCAGTATATATATAGAATGAAAAAGTAAATAGTCATTAACTAGATCACCACAAAAACAAGAGTCCATATATTGAAATAGTGAATACCAAAGGACTGACCACCCAGTAAGCCAGGAGATCAAAACATAATTTCATTCCAGAAACATAGTGAAAAATAACGTGGAAATATCCCCGACATGCTACAAACATGTAACAATTATTTCTGTTTTCTTTTAATAACTCAACAAAACAAGAAGAATCTGAATACTGAAATTGTGAATACCAAAGGGCTGACCACCCAGTAAGCCAGGAGAACAAAAACATGATGTCATCCCAGAAATTGTGAAAATTATTGTGTGGAACATTCCTAAAATGCTACAAACATGTAACAAAAACTATTCGTGTGCTTTCTTTTAATAGCTAACAAAACAATTTCATGCATCACCTGTTACAACATTTGGAAATCCAAAAATGGCAGATACCTAACTCTTCAAGGAGATGTTCTGCCTCTGAAATGATACATGTTAGCAAATTCCAAGCACAATTCACGGTCCCTTGTATCTCCCCAGCCTCCCCAACCCCTGAACCCAGCTTGATATCCCGTTTGATGCTCAAAAACATGCACTCCCCATTTTGGATCGATATTGCCCGCCTTATCAATCTCTTCTACACGTATGTTCACCGTGCCTTCATCAATGCAAGAATTACTCCCCCCCTGGCCCTGATGCAAACCACATTTCCCAAAGTGCACGGCACTTGTCCTAGGACCTCGTAACGTGTAAACAGGACCACCAAATGAAGGATAAACTGTTGCCCACATTGTTATATCCCAGTTATAATCATCAAAGAAACAAAATTCTCTTGCCTTCCTATGTATCTTCCTCCAACCAGTCCGATTAAAAGCATAACCCACGTTACCCATTCTCTCTGCAATCAAACTCTCCCACCCTTCCCCCCTTGATTTGACATCAGACGGTGCCAGATTTGCAGCATAACAATTAGGACATTTTTCAGGCTTCAGAGCTGCGAGCGTCTGTAAGTTGCGATAAGCATTGGGAAAAATAAAGTGATCCTCCTCTATGAAAAGAATATGACCTGAATGGTGACAAGTCTCCTTCAATCCATCCCACACCGTGTTCATCATCCACCACCAGTGATGCTTCAACGACACGATCTTTGGTGACCGGTGGTTTCCATACTGATCTGGATTCCCTTTACAACGTTGCTTAATTGGGTCATCCTTTTCCTTGCAGTCCGTTGGTGATGCACCAGGAAAGCTATTATTAAAGACATGGGGCGAGTAAGGGGAGAATATTTGTTTCACTTGACAGAATTTAATGCCTTCCACTATCTTGTTCATCTCTTCAAAGTATCCATCATGACTAACTATCAATAGAGTTTCACCAATCCCAACTACTCGAGAAAGGCTCTCAACAACTACTCGGAGGTATTGGGGGCGATTGTGAACATATAGAACTATTGTTACATGATCCTTGGCTAGTTTTGGAAATTTATCCAAGTTTATTGGGGGTAACTGATTTCGCTTTTCCAATAAAATCGACAGTTCATTCTGTTTGGGAAGGTTAAATTCTCTTCTAAGTTGGGTGTAATTGTTAGTCAATTCACAATCCTGATCAATTTCATTCGAATATTGGATCTCATTATCCGAAACTGTATTCGTTTGGAAGAGAAAAATCAGCAGAAAAACCCCTAACAAAGTAACGACAACTACAGACAAACAACGGCGAAAAGCTGCATCTTTGATCCGAGTTTTCTTGTTCAAAGCCATAAATCAACAGCACAGAAAGCATCAAAAATGTTTCATGGCAGTAATAAATATAGTATCCACAGCATCAGATTTCAAAATAAGAAAACCCACAATCTCTTCAAAGTAGAAGAATCAAGATTTCACATACTTAAACATTTATGAACCAAAAAGAACACAAAATAAATGAGGGGCAGTATTAAAAACCTCCAAAATGGTCTTCAGAGTGTGATTTAAGCATCCAAAATTTCCAAAACATGAACACCCATATTGAGCTTTCTATTGCTGACAACCATATCAACATGTTGTGGAATCAACATAGCCAAACCACTCAACAAAACGCCTGAAAAACACTAGGGTTTTTGTTGAAATTCCACAAAGATTGATCAAGACTAGTGAGAAAACAAACCCAGTATGTATTACAACAAATTCCCAAATGGGTAGTCACAGAATCTGAATTCTGTGGGTTAGATTGCTTTAAAAGACCGATAAATATGAGATCAAAGTCAACAGTGCACTATGTAACGCGGAAGTTATGTTAGAACAAGCACATAGTCAACAATAATCAGCTTCACTACACAAGACCTGCTGGCTTTAGAGGAAATGGTAAAATGGGCTCATTGTTTTATCAGTTGGAGAGCCTCCGACTAATCAAAATTCGTAAACTTCAAGATATGGTTAACGAACTACTCAGGGCTGTGTCGTCCAATTTGTTAAGATGAGCGGTGATTCATCCACTAATTTTTGAATCATTAATAGTTTTAATGAGCTTGAAAAAAGAAAAAAAAAACAAACTCAAGTCAAAATATTACATCACTTTGATGAGAGTTACTGTATCACATCATTAGTGATGCTCTAGGCTCCGTTTGTTTTGGGTTATAGCAAGGGGATTAGGATTACTAGTACCTTGAGATTAGTATATGGGATGTTTGTTTTGAGAGATAGCCTTGGGACTATTAATACCTTGGGACTAACTAATACCTTGGTATTACTAATACCTTGTTTGTTTTGAGAGTAAGTTAATAGTTATATATATGAAAAATATTATGTAAAATTAATTTATATTATATATACAAAAAAATATTATACAAATTAATATTATATATATTATGTAAATATTTAAAATATTTTTCAATCCGCTCAAAACTATTTAAATTATAATTTACCAATTCATCAATTCATTATTTAATTTATAATTTTACTCAAACTATCAAAATCACAGCGTGCACACGCCTTAGCCCTGGTGTGCCAAGAAATAGAAAGGTCCACAGGGGCGGTGTGGAAATTAAAACCATAGGGCCAAAGATGTCTTTGAACCCCAATGTCCGATCAAATTAGATAAGAGTTTCTATTTGCCACAATTTTCTTACCCTATATATACGAATTTTTTTATTTTTTTTATTTTTTTTTTCAAAAAAGGAGTAAAAAATAGTGTTATATCACAAAAATTATACTCGAATTCAGAGATTACATAATAATTTCTAGATCAAGCATATGATTACTTGTTCACTATTAAATTTCATTGGAGTTGCATTTTTTTTAAACAAATCATGAAAAAAAGTGTAATTTTTAGGTTATATGCATAGCTCAAACCCCTTTTCATTTTTCTAGTTTTATTTTTATTTTTATTTTTATTTTTTATACCTAGTATGCCACTTTAGAAAATGTATATATATAAAAAAAGTGTATGTACAACTATGTTTGATTGAATTTTCAAAACTACCTTAAATTTTAAAAAATAAAATAATTTGGTGAGGGAAAAAAATTGATTATTTTTTTTTGGAATTTTTTTTTAAGGTCTCTCCTATTAAGATTTTAGGAGAAATTGGTCTAAGATCACTGCCTAACTTTTGACAGGAAGAGAGATCCACAATAATATTTTTTGATACCTAAGGTCCCTCAACCTTATTTTATGTCATAAAATACCTAATTTACCCTTCTTTATAATATAAGTTTGTTTGGATTTTGATAAACTGAATATTCTATTGCTGTTTTATAAAAGATTTCATGGGAATGGACTTCATGGTGGAGATTTCGTAGGGATTTTTGCAAGTGTTGCAGTGGGCTTGACGATGGAGATTGCTATGATCGTGTAGGTGTCATAGTGGTGTTGATCGTATAGGTTTTTCAGTGGAGTTGAATTAGGTATGTTTTTATGGAGATTCCACACGGATTTCAATTTTTGTTTTGAATTTTATGTAAGGATTCTGATTTCATATTAGTTTTTCGAGTGTATTTTTGCATTTGATTTTTGTTTTCAATTTTGATCAATTTAAAAGAGAAGCTAGCTCACTGAAGTTGTTTATAATTTTTGGAGTTGATTTTTCATTTTCTATTATTGATCAATTTTAGAGAGAGGCCAGCTTGATAGAGTTGATTTTAATTTTTGGAGTTCATTTTTCATTTTTTGTTTTTGATCAATTTCAAAGAGAGTTGACAATGAAGTTGATTTTGATTTTTAGAGTTCATTTTTCATGCTCTGTTTTTTATCAACATACTTATTAATGATAAGTTTTGTTCTCTATTTTTTCGAACCAAAGAAATTTCTTTAAACCAGAGATAAGTGTAAATTTCTTATTATTTTTTGTTCTCTAAGTTTTGTTTTCTATTTTTTCTGCACTTTTGTTGGTATAGTTCAGAGAAAATTATAAGTTTGTTATTATAATCCAACAAAAATCACAGTGAAAATTATAAGTTCATATTGACATATTATTATAAGTTTCTCATGCAGATAGAATCACAGAGAAAATTGTAAGTTTGTAATTCAATGAAAATCACAGAGAAAATTGTAAGTTTGTAGTCTAGTGAAAATCACAGAGAAAATTATAATTTGTTATGGACATGTTATTATAAGTTTGTTATTTGTTATTTTTATTTTTCTCAACTGAATGTTTTGTGAGCATAATAATCTTCTCTATAAGTTTCTTTGTGTTTGTGTGGAATAGTTAGCATTTTTGTCAATTTGATGTTAATGTGTTTCTGTTTTTGTGATCTTGAAAGTGTATATAAGTTCTTAAATTTCTCTGAACTTTTATTTGTAGTTCAGAGAAAATTATAAGTTTGTCATTCACTTTCAGTTTATAGTTCAGAGAAAATTACAAGTTTGTAGTTCAAAGTGAATATAAGTTTTTGTTTCTCTGAGCAAAAGTTATTTTTGTGTTTTTTCTTTTAATTTAGATGGACAGTGTAGTGTTTTTTGTTATCTTAAAGGTGTATATAAGTTTGTAAATTTCTCAGGATTTTGATATGAGTGCAATATTGCACAATTATACAGAGAAAATTGTAAGCTTGTAGTTCAGTGAAAATCACAGAGAAACTTATAATTTCATAACAGATCTTCTGTATAATTTTTGTCTATGATTGTGTTTAATAGTTAGTAGTAAATTTCTTTGTGATTCTTTCTGGATTCATTAAGTTTTCTGTAAATTTTTTTTTGTTATCTTGAAGGTGAATATAAGTTTGTAAATGTCTCTAGACTTTTATTTGAGTCTAGAGAAAATTATAAGCTTGTTATTATAATCCAGAGAAAATTATAATTATTAGAAATTTCTCTGGATTTTTATGTTGTTCTTGTGAAGTATTTTTATATTGAACAAATTATTTTCTTGTTTTTTCTTTCAGTTTCGATGGACAGAGCAGTATTGTTGCTGTGCAAATATGAAAATGATACTATTGTCATTAATGTATCATGTGAATTGAATTTTGAGGTATTGGTTGGCATTTTGCGTAAAACATAGAAGAATTTGAAACCTGAGACAATGTGTATTTCATATTCTATTGTAGGCCATCCGAATTGTATGGTTCGAAATAATATTGATTTTCTAAATATATTGAGGGTTGTTTATGCATGTGGTGTTGATATAGTTGATGTTTCACTTATTAGGTGTAGTACTTCTGATTAAGATGATGAAGTATGGTCTAATTGGGTAGATGTTATGCATGGTGAATTGATAAGCTCGTGGATATTGAAAGAATTCACTCTCTAAGTTTTGTTCTCACCAAGAAAAGGTGTTATTGTCAGTTGGTTGACAAAATAATATTACGAATGTTAGACAAAACTTTGAAGGAGGTGTAGTGGAGTTTCGTACTATTTTATGCAAATATGCTACTGAGGTTGGTTTTCAGTTTACATATGTTAAAAATGACAAGCTGAGGGTTACGGTAAAATGTGCATATAAGGAATCAAGGGAATGTATGTGGCGTGTACATGCTTCAGTTGAAAAAACAAATGAGTTCTTTTACATAAGAACTTTGAACAATGAACATACATGTGGTGTGATAGTTCGTACTAGTAAACATGCTAGGATGACTTCCAACTTAGTTTCTGAGCTGATACTTGAAGAGGTAAGTACAAAACCTTTAACTCGTCTAGTAGATGTTGTCAAAGAAATGAAAGACAAGTATAGGGTCTCAATCAGTTATAACTGTGGTTGGTTTGGGGTTGAAAAAGTAAAATATAGTACATATGGGGATTCTTGTTTGTCATTCGATCAATTACGGTGGTATTTTGATGAGGTATTGAAGAACAATCCAAGTAATCGTTTTGAGTTAGATTTTGTAGATAAAAAACGTTTCAAAAAAGTATTTGTGGCTTTTTATGCATACATTGTTGGTTTCAAATATTGTCGGCCATTGTTGTTTCTTGATGAAACATTTTTTAAAGGACGATACAAAAGAGTTATGCTTGCTGTGATGGGGAAAGATAGAAATGAAGGTGATTGTAAATATATCTATTTTTATCTAAGTATGTGAATTTTCTATACATGTGGGAATTGAGTGAATTTTCTATTTTTGTAGTTATGTTTTGTGATTTTTCTATGACACTTTGAATTTTTTCTGGTTTTGGCCACTGTATGAATTTTCTCTAGTTTTGGCCACTGTATGAATTTTCTCTAGATTTTGGTCAGTGTGTGAAGTTTCTTTGGATGTTGTCATTGTGTGAATTTTATCTGTAGTTGGTCACTAAGTGAATTTTTTCTAGATATTTCCAATGTGTGAACTTTTTCTAGAGTTGGTCACTAAGTGAATTTTCTCTGAAGGTTGCCATTGTGTGAATTTTCTCTGGATTTGGCCATTGTGTGAAGTTTCTTTGGATGTTGGCAGTGTCAAATTTCTCTGGTTGTTTATTGTTCTAATTTTCTCTGCATGTATATATCTAATATACTTGTTCCTATTTGTTTTGTAGGTTTTTTCCCTATAGCTTTTGCCGTTGTTGATGATGAGAATAAAGATAATTGGTGTTGGTTCCTTGAACATTTATGTGAAGTATTGAGATCGGAGAGGGTGATAAGTTTCATATCAGATCGACATTGTGGTATTGTGGAAGGAATTGCTAGGTTTTTCCCTAATTGTTATCATAGATTTTGTCTTGAACATCTAAAGAGAAATTTGAGGGATAGGTTATCATGTGGAAACATAAATTTGCTTAGGGAGACGATTGTGCCCAAGTTTTCAGAATGTGCATATGAGCCAACAAAGGCATCATTCCATTTCAAGTTAAATGAATTAAAAAGTGAGGGAGGAGACATTGTGAGTGTTTTCTTGAAAAGTTTACCATATGAAAATTGGAGTGATGCATATTTTGAGGGGAAATGTTATGGTGAGATATATTCAAATGTTGCTGAGTCATTCAATTCATGGATACAAGAAGCTCGGCACTTGCCAATAACAAATTTAGTGGACATGAT